AGAATGACAAATATGCGCTTGATAGCAGATATGCAGATAAGCGTGAATGTCCTACTCAGCATTCAGCTCCAGTGTCAGCTACTGATTATAAGGGAAAGTCAGGATCTAGGATGTATTTCCACAAAGGGTTGAGACTATAGAGGTGCTGAATACCCTCAACTTCCACCCAGTTCAATGGAAGTGGAATGATTTCTAGGGTGTGCCTTGGCAGACTTAATCACCATCAGGTTTTCTTCTGCAGCTGTGCATATGCTACTTTTATGAAAGCTGCACACTGATGTTTAGAGAAATGACTGGGAGATTTCAGAGCAGTCTGCTACAGCAAAAAAAAGAACAGAGCTTCCACAGAGCTTGATACCAGATAGAAATTTAATTAGATGAGAAATAGCTTTACAGTGAACATCATGGGAAGCTCTTTTGAGAGCTTGCATCTTAATTATAAGAACACACTTCTTTTTCATGACAGTCTCTTCATGTCTTTTACATGAATTTAATGGAAAACTGCAAATTTGCATGATATCTCTGGGAAATGAAAAATTAATTATATTTCTGCCTTGCAAAAGGCAGAAATCTATCTCTGTAGAAGGAATCTGCTTCATAGGCTTCAGAAACACAAACCTTGTGAACTAAAAATAAGGAACGAAGAACATAGTGAAAAGATGGAGCATCTCTTCCCACAGCTCATGGCTCTAGGAGTTCACTAACACTTAGATCCATTTCTACTCTAATATTTAAAACATTTATGCAGAAATGGTTGAGACAGCCAAAGTGTTATCTTTTACCTATTGTTATTAAAATTGCATATATTGAACATTCATCTCTAGGGATTCTCAGATAATTTTATAGATATAAATATATTAATCTTCTTCCCATTCCATGAAGTACTTGAATACCTGTATCCTATTTTTAAAAAAGGCAAGCAGGACATACAACAGATTTCTCCTATTTCTAATGAATTCACTGGCAAGCCAGAACAGCATAAGGCTTAAGTTACTTGCTGAACGTTATACTGAACAGTTGCGTGGGGCTTTGAACAAATAACCACATTCCCAACTCTGTATTTTGGTCACAGTGACCAAATTCCATCTCTTCCTTTTTTGCAGAAATAAAATTCTTCCCTGTACTATACAAAATTATCAACCCATATACACAACCACAATCTGTCTCCTAATTTAGGATTTATTTTTTCTTAGGCAACCATAAACCCAAATGCATTCATTTAAAATATAATCATGTCTTTTTAGTATATAAAAAAGTTTAGTGGTTTGGGTTTGGGGGTTTTTTTAAGGTAAATTATGCATTTATGGAAAAATAATTCAGGGCATGTAAGGTGAGATATCAGATCTATTTTAAAAATTCATCCCACCCTACAGTTGTTTGAATCAATGCACATAGGCTAATAATTATAACTTATGGATTGTAACCTATTGCTCTTGACAGTAGGGCAACACATACGTTAAGGGAGATCTAATGACTGGCACTTTAATGTGAGAAGAAACATCCAATCAAATATTAAAAATGAGCCAAGGGATGGTGATTACATTATACTCTTCCTTGTGCTCAAGGGTTTTAACCATCAATATTTCAAGGAGAATGTGTCCTCCAGAAGGGAAGAGAGAGGAAAATTCCATTTTCCAGTTTTATGCATATATGAAATAATGTTGCTAATCTGATACAAAACTGTGCTACTTCTGCACAAAATGCAGCTCACCTAAACCTACTTATATTGGTGCAACATATCTGCTTTGACTCTGCTGATACAAAATATCTTTGTTTAAATAAGTCCTCAATATCTGTGATTTTTATGAAGTTAAGGAAGGCTAATTCCTTGGTGGTTGTTGAATCCAAGAAGAACATATAAATGCCACTCCCAAAAGACCTCACTTGTGTTTATGTCACCCAAATCAGATCTTTAACACTTAACAAGTCTTGCCTTGGGAAAGATAAGGACAAACAAATCCAGTCTCACCACTGAGCTTATTCCAGACAGAAATGTGTCATGAATTAATCATACAAGCAAACTCTTGTACCTCAACTGGAATGGAATACCGTTTTTTCTTAAAAGGATGTCACAATCCCTATGGGACATCCAAGCTATTAACATCTCTGTTCACAAATAATGTACAGAGTTCTAAGGGGATATGGAAAATTCCAAAGCAACTCCCCTCAAGAGATGCAAGGCCAGAAATGAAAATATTTGCAAAACAATAAACCCACAGGGAACCTAACCTTTTTCCAAGCTGTCAAGAAAAGAAACAAAAAGCAATACAGCTTTGTGAGAGCAAATGGCCCTATGCTGAGAGAAGAGCACCCAACAGCTGTTCTTTTGCCTAAAGAACTCAGTGCTATCTGGATGCCAATTAAGATATGGGGAGGACGGATAATCGACTAGAGATCCCAAAATATGAATCCCTCTCTTTAAACTTATCATACTGTATACAAAATAGGTTTCTAGTAGTGCAATACAATACACAAGATTTCCTTCACAGTTAACATAGCACAGTGCAAGGCTATTGTCATCAAGCAGAAGTATAATGCCAGAGACATAGAGTAAAAAGGAACACTTTGGCCATTATCTAGTAATTTGTTTCAGAGAGTCCCAGTAAAAATTCTTGTTCTTCACCTCATTCACCCTTCCTGTCTGTCTCCTGTGAGGAGATCCATAGCTGTTCACAACTCTCTTGCCCAGCCTTGTATAAGGAGGTCACTGGCAGGACCAGCGCAGATCTTGCAGAAGCTAATGACATATTGATTACCTTTTTCCAGATGTCTTGTCCTGGAGCGAAGTACCTCTAGCATTTATATTCTCAGGACAGTGATCTGTTAGGTATCCTCTGGAGAGCTATCCTGAAAGGACATACCATTTTTACTAGGCATATATATTAGAGAAGCCAGAGACAAGAAAGCTAAGTAAGTGTGAGAATAGAGCTTATAAAAACCAGTAACTGAACAGACAGCTTCTACCCTTGGTTCCTCTGTTTTATGTCAATTTTTAGAAGTTTCACAAGGACTTTTAAACATTGATATCCCACCCTGCTTTGAGATCTCAGAGCTTAGGAGGCTCTACAGAACAATTCCATCCAGTTTACTGCCTTGCTCTTAGATTAACTGACCACGTGGGAGGAAGATGTGTGTGTCTGTACACAACCAGGTGCTTAGGACTTGAGAAACCACTCCACCTCTCTGTGGTCCGCAAGGAACTGAGAAGGGGAGAGGGTTCATAAAACTGGTTTTCACTAAAATGATCAGACCATCTTGGATTAGGGGAACCGGACAGAGGAGATTTGGTCTTTGTCCTCTGAACTCATCAATCAGAGGAATGCTGGGCACCTGGACAAAACAGAATGGGCCATTTGCTTACGGTTCCATGGACTGGGGGAATGTAGACATTGGGGTGGAAAGGCCTGGGCTATTTTGTCATGGCTTCATTGGTATGGGGAATGCAGGCACCTGCATTGCACAGCCTGGGCAATCTGCCCATAGCTCTATCAAACAAGGAAATACAAGCACCTCTGATCTTACCAAACAGGGCTGTTTGCAAATTTGTAAGTAGCTGACAGTATAAGAGAAAGGAATTAAAAGAAAAAAGAACTGAGATAACCAAACAGAAAATGCCATGGACAGGTGGGAAATGTACAGGCAGTGGCCTTTGCTGTGGTACAACCACGCGTAGCTCTGTGCAAAGCCTGTCAGCTGATTCTGTTAGTTTAAGGGGGGTTATCCCCCCATGTGCCATCAACATGCAACAGAATTATCTTCCAGGCATGTACCACAAGCTCTTTTCTGGATTCTGCAAGCAAAAAGGAGCAAAAGTATTTTATGTGGTGTATTTTAATTGGTCAATTCACTAGAAAGAAAGAAAAAGAAAAACACAGAGAGAGAGAGAAAGAGGGAATCCCTATGGAAACAAAGTTAGACAGACAGGCACTGTCACCACTTATAAAGCAGGGCCAAAGAACTCCAAGGACAAGTCCCTCTGCTATGATGGAAAAACTCAACCAAACGAGAAAATAGGTCTCCAATTGGAGTTAGCATATCCATAGAGGACACCTAAGCTTGGGAATGAATGCAGCCAGCTCTCTAGTTCACTGGCATGGGGTGTGATGCAGCCCTCCATTGCCAACCTCTCCCCAAAAGCAACAGAAAGAAACCCAACCCAAGAGATACAGAAGGGTAGGAGTGGCAGATGAGCTAAAATACATGTCCCTTTAGTTACTGTTAAACACCAAATTATAACTGTGATACTCAAAACCAAACTGTTGCTGCTCTGGAGAACTATCAAACAGCATAAGAGCTGTGACAAAAGAGTGACAACCCTCAGAGAGCCAGGAGCCACAAAGCGCCTTTGGTCCCACGAGCTCACTGCAATGTAGCTACTTCTCTTCTAATGAATGAACTGGCTGGCTTTGTTTGAAGACAGGGTTCTCTCAATGCTTACCCTAAGCCAAGCAGTGTTTTCTAACACATAATTCAAGTGACCAAGCCAAAAGGCTGGTCACAGTTTCCACTTCTTACACAGATCCCCTGAGTGCCTTAGTTTACCTGACTCTAGAACTCATGCTAAACCCATGTTCCTAAAATGCTTTGAGAAATTTGCATGGCCTTAATACTGCATTTATGCCAATAAACCTTGGATTTCTCTGAGTGACACTGTTGTCACTTCGCTCAGAAGCACAGGGAAGTAACCAGCACTTGACAAGTTACCACGTATTGGCTGAACGGCAAGTGACTGGGCTCAGTAATCCCAGGGAGAGATGTTTGAGGCATTTGCTATCTCACATCTGAGGTGGGATGAAAGCAGGTACGCAGTCACTTGCTGTGGCTTGGCAAGCTGGTGGCAACTCACCTGTGATGTTCTGGGATCAGTCACAGCCCCACAACTGCTTACACAGAGTCTTCTAAATAGGAACTATTACTTTTTCCTGAACATCACCTTGGGATGTTTGTTGTGTATGCAGAGTCCTGTATCGATGCTTGGATGAGTATCTTCTACCTTTCAGGTGATTTATCGTGCCTTAAGTCCGGCTAACAAGATTGAAGACCCCTATAGTCCTGAGGCTCAAGATCTCCTGAAACTCACCAACCTCCGCCTCCTTAGAGAAACCTCAGAGATTTGCCCACTATGCTATTTATGACCTGATCATCCGGGGGAGCTGCTTTTGCAATGGGCATGCAGAGGAATGTGAGCTTGCCAACAGGACAGGAGTCACAGAGAACGTGGTGAGTTCTAGACATTCACTATCCTACTAGACTTGTTACCTGCTTGTGCTTTCTCAGCCTAACTGTACCTTTTGTGTATCACCCTGTTCAAGCCTCCCTAAGCCTATCTAAAAAAGGGCAGCACTGTCAGTCCACATTAGTGAAACCTAAACCACTCTGGAAAAGATTTCCTATAACCCTTGCTGCAGTTCCATGGGTGTATTGGGTTTGTGTAGCAAGGTCATGGTAGTGGAGGGGCATTGCTAGAGATGGGTCCTTCTAAAAACTCTGGACCTCAAAATACCTATAAATTGTGAAGGGGATTTGTAATTGGAACGGAGATCCAACCCCAAATATAGTGAATGAAATCTCCACCTATACGCCTGCGCAGAACTGAACTAATCCCTTTGATGCAAAGAGTGCCCTGACCAGAATTTCAGCATGAGATCTCGAATTCTGAGTTTGTGAGACATGACCAATTCTGTCATACTTAGGGTTTCGGCCTTTACATTTAGGTTTTCAGCCTTCTGTGATTTTGCTATTTTCACTACATAGACAGCAGTGTTCAGGATGTGAAAATAATTTCCACTCCCTACCTCTTTTACCCATTCAGCTTAAAATAAGTTAGATTTTTTTTAAAAAAAGCCAAACCTCATAGGAATATTATTCTATAGTACTATGACTAGCCCCTCCCCATTCAGTCTTTTGTCTGCCTTTGCCCCTGGATGTGCAGAAGATGTGAGTTGTGTTCGTATGCATGCTCAGAAGCTGTGATTCAGGGGGAATGATGCTGTCTCCTTTTTGATTTACAGCTGCAAGCTGTAATAACAGTCACAGGGAAATGATGCTAGCCAAATATCCAAATGCATCTAAACACATCCATCACAGACAGAATTCAAGACACTTTAAACCAGTCAATGGCTCCACTGGTTCCAGAAGGCTGTCTGTCTCTGTGAGGGTTTTGAAAACCAAAATAACCCTCAGAACTTTAGTCCCTGGTGCACTCTGACATAACAGACTCAAGAAATACATACACATCCTCAGCTAATTTCTGTCCCTTTAGATATAGGGTACACTTGACATTTGTTTTGTTTTCTTCTGGAATGTGTGTTCATTGTCTTCCTTTCAACTTCTCTAGGTTCAGAGGTAGATATTGTAAGATAATTAGGACTGTATGGGTTTCACAATATTTGCAAAATCATTTCTGAATCAGTTCCATCTGTGGTATAAATCTAAGATTCAGCTACAGTATTCTAGCACTAGGTGATATTATCAGATTTTGTTAACTATAAATATAGACTCACTTAATACATAACTGTGTAGAGAAAAGCTGTTTAAAGAGTGCATCCTCCCTACTGCAAACTGTTAAATATACACATAGTGAAACCAAAGAGATGAATAACATGCAAAATGAATACAGCTGGTAGAAGAATAAACACTCTGCCCATCAGAAAAGGAAAACACAATATTGTGTATATTACTGGCATAACCATTGTAAACTATGACTGGATTTTTTTTTTCCCACTAGTCACAAGGGAATAGAATCTTTTTGTGCCATCAATGACTTCACGGGGCAGAAGGTGAAATAGTTTTGATGAAATGCACTTCATGAGTGACTCATGCCCCAGGAGACAAGAGGGTGGATGCATCCCATCATTTGCACAGGCACAGATATTAGCAAGTCTTTGCCTAAGCAGGGATTCAAATGCAGCAGTGAGAAAAGTGAGAAAAGCCTTCCAAAGTTTTAACTACCTCTTGAATCCTAGATGAGGTCTGGAAAAGACCATAAGTGAGTCGGTCTGAGTCCTTGCACAAAGGTATGATCGAGCATACCGAAGCCATTCACTAATGAATGCTTGTTGAACTAGTTTTTAAAAATCTCTGATGAAGGAGATTCAATAGCAACCCTCAGTAGTTGTTCCCATTTTGACATTTTTGAAAGCTCTTTTTTAGTGCCTGCTTAAATAATCTCTGCTGCAAATTAAGGTGATTCCTTCTTGTCCCCTCTCCCCCAGTGATCATGGAGAGCAGTTGATCCACATTCTGCAGATATGATTGGAAGGTTCTTACTGTATCCTGATTTGGGTTTTTTGTACTAACCAGAGAAGTGTGAAACCCTAGATGGTCAAAATTTAAAATTCTACTCCTGGGTCATACAAGTCTGGAATAAAGATGATGATGCTATTTTGCTCCTCTTTTCTGTGCTTTAGTCATTACACCCTAGCTCTTTCTCAAATATACAATGAAAATCCACTCCCGGAAGAGCCAGGTTCCTGGATCCTTTCACATTTTATCTAATACTTACCAATGATGATATTGTAGTGGTGAAGGGAGAGTTCACATAGGTACAGATCTCAGGATTTGGTTTACATAGCATGAGGGAGTTTATATAAGTGTATAACTTTGCATCTTACAATATGGTAAACTCCTTACCTACATGCAGAAGGAAGAGGCCTTTGTTGTTGAGTGAAAACCAATTATACGTTTCATATCAGCCAAACTACACTGCAACAAAAATCTTGCAATTTCTTGGCAGAGACAGGGAAGGTGCTCTACTTTCAGTCACATGGTGACTAAAATGGGACAGGGAAAAGAGATGTTAGAAACAAACACTGCATGTCCAGAAATAATCTGATTCATTCCACTGGCCGCGTCATACTTAATGAACACATGGGCAGAGCAAGTCTCAAGACACACAGTTTTTAATGTGGCTAGTGTGGGTGATATCACAGCATGAAGGCAGAGCAGCTTCATGTTTCCTGGGCTGCTGTCAAGTAATTAAATAAAATGCTGGAAAAATACAGACCTCCACAGAAAGGCTTAAGTAATAGGAGTTTCAGTCTCTTAAGAGTTCAGAGTCCTCCTACAATGTATTTATTTTCTGTAGTTAACAACAACAAAAGCAAGTCCATGTAGAAAACAACTGTAATTGTTTGCCATGGGATAGACCCAAAAGCTGAGATCATTCTGCACTTAGGTCTTGGAAGAGACATAACTGTGCTAACTTGTAAGTCTGCTCTTCCTATTCTTGAAAGAAATCCGTTCCATGTGCAATACTTCTAACACTGCTAGATTGATACTGTATGTACACTAAATACTGGAGAAAACTAAAGCAAATTTCCTGACACCTTTGAACCAACACTTCTCAACACCCTTTTGGAGGGATTAGATGATCTATGACTACTAGACGATCTGTCAATGATCAATTTATCTGTGGATCTGTCAGTTCAGTCATGACAACCCATTCACCTCCTCCTACTCCACTGAGGCTGCCAACAAGAAATGCAGCTCTGTGAGGAGTAATGTCACAGATGCCACAGTGCCGTAAAGATTAATAGATAAAAAAACCCTGCAAATTGTAAAACTGACCTCCAAATGGTACATCATTCCTCATAGCTTGAAATCCTAGATAGTTTCAGGCATAATCTCTCTGGTCATAAGTCATTTGTGAAGATACTGAATACAGCAAGGTTCAAAGTAAACTTCCTTAGGATCCAATGGAAATGTCCTTTGACTTCTTATTTTGGCAGCAAATCAGTAATAATTACTCTTTTCATGTGGCTTTTTTTTTTTTTTAACAAGCCATGCACCTACCTCAACCCAATTTACCTAGCTCACACTTCTCGTATTAACTACTGAGAATATCATGTCAGACAGGAGAAGAACTTTGAGAAATGAAGATGGGAGCTATAAGCAACAGGCAAGAAACTTCTGGGCAAACATATCTTGAGTTTGAGGTTTGTTGCTATTGACAGTGATGCTTTTTTGTTTTCTATTTCCTTTCTTTGGACCAAAAAAAAGGGTCACAGAGATGTCATACCAAACTTAAATAGCTTCTTATGATAGCTAAGGACAAAATTCTCCTTTCTGAATGTCATGGTCTGTATTATTCAAACTCTTACGAGTAGCTCCTTTGACAGTGAGGGAAATTATTGAGATTGCATTTTCCCACAGAAACTACAGAGAAGCATTTTCTTTTAAGTGGATGGCATTAATATGCTGTTATAAGGGAAACAACTGCCAGGACCTACCAACGGATGCAACAGAACGTAATCCTGTCCCAGGTATTGCTGTTGCAGGATGCACAAAGTTACGTGTTGCTCTACAGTAAATTATTTCTTTATTAACCTCCAACAAAATTATTAAGAGCTGTCAGGTTTAGGATCTGCTTTGATGACACATTTTAGCTGAGTCCAGGGTTGCTTCCAGAACAAAGTTTACAAAGCAGAAAGTGTACATGGACAGAACACAGCATCTAGACCAAAATCCTTTCTGTTTGCCAAACATTTCACAATTCTCTTTCTAGTCTATGAGAAGTATGGACAGAGAAAAACTAACGTGGATTAAAATGTTTGTGTATAAAGCATTAGGGGTTTTAAACTTGTTAATTATTGGTACCTACACTGCGAGGAAATTCTTACAAGTTGCCTCGGATGTTTCTTTTGCTTCTTTGTCCTGCTTACAGAGACAAACTAGAATCCCTGTGGGTCTGATCCTCCGCAATGAAGCAAATGGAAAGTTTTCCACTTACTTCAAAGAGAGCAGGATCTGGTTCTAAGTAAGATTCCTTGTTTGGCATAATGGAGGTTACACAAGGTAAAACTTGTTTTTCTACAGCAATTTTCTAGGCTGTTGTATCCCTTGCAAATATTACCTCCTATTCAAATATCTTGTGCAGTTCTACTGATAATCCCCAGCTAAGTTTTCACATTATCTGATCCAGGCTGTGCCAGTCTGTATGATGTCCAGCACTCAGAGATGCAGGAGGTGTTCTCTGTTGTAGCTGGCAACTCTTAAGAGTAGGTTTTGTTTAAGAAAAAATTACTCTGTGTACATCAGCTATGTCACTAGCATCAGGAATGTAAAAATAAAAGATTACAAGAGCTTGTAGATCATGTCAGAATAAATTATAGACACACATCCCTGTGCTGATTTTTTTCCAAAATTTAAAACTGAATAGAGACTTCAATATCTGCCCATAATGACCTGAAAACATAGAATAAGGTCACATAAATATGGAG